ATCCATCCATCATCCATCCATCCATTCATCCATCCATCATCCATCCATCCATCCATCCATCCATCCATCCATCCATCTATCATCCATCCATCCATCTATCATCCATCCATCCATCCATCCATCCATCATCCATCCATCCATCTATCATCCATCCATCCATCATCCATCCATCCATTCATCCATCCATCATCCATCCATCCATCCATCCATCCATCCATCCATCCATCATCCATCCATCCATCCATCTATCATCCATCCATCCATCCATCTATCATCCATCCATCCATTTATTCATCCATCCATCCATCCATCATCCATCCATCCATCCATCCATCCATTATCCATCCATCCATCCATCTATCATCCATCCATCCATCCATCTATCATCCATCCATCCATTTATTCATCCATCCATCCATCCATCCATCATCCATCCATCCATCATCCATCCATCCATCCATCCATCATCCATCCATCCATCCATCATCCATCCATCCATCCATCATCCATCCATCCATCCATCCATCATCCATCCATCCATCATCCATCCATCCATCCATCAATCCATCCATCCATCCATCATCCATCCATCCATCATCCATCCATCCATCCATCATCCATCCATCCATCCATCATCCATCCATCCATCATCCATCCATCCATCCATCATCCATCCATCCATCCATCCATCATCTATCCATCATCCATCCATCCATCCATCCATCCATCCATCCATCCATCAATCCATCCATCCATCAATCCATCCATCAATCCATCCATCCATCATCCATCCATCCATCCATCCATCCATCCATCCATCCATCCATCCATCCATCCATCCATCCATCCATCCATCCATCTTTTTTAAATTGGTAACTTTCTTAACCTTGTCTAAAAATCTTTTTTTACTTTGATATTATTTTTTATACTGGTTTAAACTGTCAAACAAAAAGATGAGACATAAAATCATTTTTCACTAATAGATGGATCTTAACTTTGCAACATTTACGGTTCTTTTTGCCAGGGCGACTCATCTTCTTAATAGACGATCTTTGGCAGTGAGATACTAGGAGGAGAACCGTTATCCTCAGAATAAAACCCACTATTATTAAATTAACATTTAGAGCTTTTCAATTGCTAATCTGATCAAACTGAAGAAGCACTTCCGGTGAAGTGTTTCATATAATATATTTTTACTTGTTTTTCATCCACGTTAGTGACCATGAAATTAATAGAAGGTATTTTATAAAGGTAAACATAAACAGTTTATTGAATTACTTCCATTACTTTAAGACTTGTATCTATTATCAGGTGCAATGAATGGATAAGGGCCTTTTGTATTTTTTATCTGCATCCTGATTTCGAGAATTTTATTTATTAGTTTTCTAAATCTCTGAATCTCTGAATCATTTGGGATTTTATAGAAGAAAAATCCCTTTATTGTCCCAGAATGGGGAAATAGTTTAAAAACCCAACCTAAGATCCTTTACTTTCTAATTGATGTCCTTTATGACTCAAGTGGCCCTTTGCTGAACTTTAATGAGGCCCCAAACATCAGCAGCTGCAACGCAACACCGCCCTCTAGCGGCAAGGTTTGAAATAGCAACAAGAAAGAAAGAAAGAAAGAAAGAAAGAAAGAAAGAAAGAAAGAAAGAAAGAAAGAAAGAAAGAAAGAAAGAAAGAAAGAAAGAAAGAAAATATATTTGTTTGAAACCAAAATTCGTGTCATAAGGGAAAGACAGGAAATAAACTAAATCCGAAATAAAATTGTTAATCAGGATTTTTAAGTTGTTAGAGATAAAATAATAAAAGATCATATTCCAGATGTAGCTGCAGGTCCTCAAGTCCTTTTGTGGGTCTGCAGGTCTCTTGGTGTCAGGTTGGGATGAGATCAGAAACAGCTGGATTAACTCAACGCTGCACTTCCCCTTTCTGGACGCTAGGTGGAGACAAACACTCTTTAGTAAAGCAGGCAGTTCAGGTGGAGCCCTGTTTCTGTTACAATCATGTGTCTCAAAGTTTCAGATGAAACTTTACAAACTCCCAAAGAGCATGAGGATGGTCAGAGACATTGGAGGAAAACTCCAGAACTTCATCGGCTCACATATTTCACTTTGACTTAACCAGAGTCCACTTTGTGCTTCATCAGGAACTGAGTTAAAATGAAAAGAATAAAAAGCAACAAACTCATCATGTATGAAGGTAGAAATGACCACAGGTGTAATTTCACCTAAACAGAGGTTAGACTTTAAAGACCTTTAAAGACCAGACTGACGGCTTAATCAGAAAGAACCGGGTTTTTTTTATCCTATAATGGTTCTTCCTGTTTTTAAAGACTTACATGAATAAAGAAATGAAAGTCAGTCCATTAGACTGGGACGTAGGTAATTTGGCTGTTATGTAATAGATGAACATAAAGTAGTGCATATGACCAGTATGTCCTTGGAGGTATCAGTTAAAGAGGTGAAACATTAACTCACACACCGCACTTTTCAGATTGTTTTCACTGTTTTCTAAAAGAAAGACGCCTCGCCTGTTTTTACATCGATCTTCCTTTTATTGCTGGTAAAGTTAATAGAGTCTTTTAGAGTTCCAAATCAATTCACAATCAATCCACTGGACTTTGTTTCTAAGTTTGAAGACGTTTCTCTTCCACCCAGGAAGCTTTTTCAATTCAAAATGTCAAAAATAGCGTTGAGTTCCAAGGTTTATATGGTGGACCAAAAACAAATCCTTGTTTTTGTTTAGAAAACAGGCAAATTAAAAATGGGTCCACCATTTTGGAAAGGGGGTCATTTGACTTCTTTGTTAGCCTGCAATGCCCCATACCTGTCTATGTCTCTGAAAGGGGGGGTAGTTAAAGTGAATTCTTGCCCTGGCTGAATAGAAGAGGTCTTCTGTTCCCCTGTATCGGGGTGGGGAACATTACAGGTGTTTTGATGATAGCGGGAAGGAATCAACTCTACTGCTGGAATCCCCCCCCCCCCCCCCCCCCCCCCCCCCCCCCCCCCACACCCACCCCGTTTAAGGTTGGTTTTTCTTTCTTAACATAGATGGCTTCCTTCCTCTCAAACCACCTGTCTTGTTTGTCCAAAATGTGAACATTCTGGTCCTCCAAAGAATGTCCTTTGTCCATCAGGTGTAGATGTTGCGCAGAGTCTTGTCCAGAGGAGGGCGCTGTGGAGAGGTTGTTTGGTTTCTCCAATATAAAGATCAGAGCATTCCTCGCTGCACTGAACTGCAGACTAGCCTCGTGAGACCATCCTGATCTCGCGAGCTTTCAAGGTTTCACTCGCAGATCAGTCTGGAGACTCTCCGTTGAAGAAAATTTGGAGCCGTTCACCAAACGAACGTCCAATCAGCGTTGGCTTTGAGGCGGGTTGAGGTGTGACGCAACGAGAAGCGCGACAGTTCAGTCTAAAGAACATGGCGGCTTCAGCCGATGAAACTAGCGTTAGCGTGGCTATGGAGCAAGTTTTATCGGAGTTACAGAGTATTTCTTGACTGAAGGAAGAGCAAAACACTGCTCTGGAGGCTTTTCTCAGAGGAAAATATGTTTTTGCTCTTCTCCCGACTGGTTTCGGCAAGAGTTTGATCTATCAATTGGCTCCTCTTCATCGTCGCTCTGTTAGTACGTCATATGCTTCGTTGGTCTGATTGGTTTATTTGGACCGTCTATCACCAACATAGGCCAATCAGCTAACCAGTATTTTCGCCCCTTCCCAAAATTACTTCAACGGAAGGTTTCCAGATGGATATGCAGAGCAAATCCATCTGGCGGAGTCAGGTTACCTGTGAACCCCCTTTATACCAAAACGCTGCCAATACGCCATTATACAGTAGCTGGAAGTTAGAAACACGTTCAGCGCTCGTCTGGAACACGTCAGATACGCGGATATGCGTTGGAGAGAAGTTCTTCATAAGTTACGCAGAAGTTATGCACAAGTTACTCAGAGGTTTAGGATCAGCTAGACGCCACGACTGATGAGGAACTGACACTGAACGGATGTCAACCATCAGATAACTGACCTGGAACCTACCTGTATGCCCCACGTATGGCGTACGCTGGCATACGACGTACTCGCCGTATTTCGATGTGTTTCAGGGTACTTCAGCATGCTCGTAACTTATACAAACGTAACCTTAACTTATCCAACATACGGCAGTGTTTTGCCCTGTTTTTGCGTGCGTCAGTCAGGCAACGGAGGGTTTCTAGATGGATATGCGGAGCAAATCCATCTGACGGAGTCAGGTTTGCTGCAGACACCACTCCGCTCAGATTAGGTCTTTAGGATGAACTTGTCTCTGTTCTCTTTCTCTTATGGATGATGTGCTTTTTTGTGTCGGTCTGTCTCTAAACATTCAGGTTTGTTTCAGTAAAGTGACGGAATAGGAAAAGTTTGGTGAATAATTCCTTCTGCCAGGAACTTTATTAGTATTTTTCACAATAAACAGCAAACATCGACCGTTTGAAATAAAGCAGCACATCCAGTCACACAGGAGTTCCTTTATTGAAGCACCGCTGGAGGACGACACTGAGCTCATCCAGAGAAAAACACAAACACACACATCCACTGATATCTCACTACGATTTTAAAGGAAATAAAAAGCTGCAGAAAACCTTGATTTTAGCACCAGAACCCAAAGATCTGTTCTTTAGCACCGGTTAAGAAGGACCAAGGTCCTGGGAAATAATGAAACATTAAAGCTCAAACCTCTGGATGTTTTTTCACGTTTTATACAAAAAGCAACAGAAATCATGCAGGAAGGAGTTCTTCTCTGTTTTAAAGCATTTTTTGCAGAAATATTCAGAAGAAAATCTCTGTGGTGAAACAGTCTCCGCTCGTTGGGAGTCTAACAGACAGAAGTTACAACAAAATAAAGCTCTGAGTTTTTTTTATTAATCTTAATTTCTGCTTCAAATATAAAACTGTTAATAATCTGTACTTGAATGAAACAGAAAGCTTGAATCAGGAAGATGCCATGAATAAAACAATAAAAATAAAGGCTGTAAATGAAGAAGAAGTAGCAGGAAAGCAGTAACTCCAGCTGTGAGGTGATACAGTACACATGAAGAACCAGAACCAGTAGAAGCGGATTTTCTGCTGTGGGATCCTTCCTGCTCGGCTTCAGGTGTTTTTGCTTATAAGGGATGATTTGGGTCAAATATTAACAAAGTCCAACTTTAACTTGATTAATTCGATCTCTTACTTCGTCTTCAGGCTGGATTCTAGATTCTCCTCAGTACCTGTAAGAGAGAAAAGAATTTGATGAGCAGGAGAACAGATGTTGGCAGCAAATGTCTGCATCTGAGAGACCCGCCTTCATGACAGGAAACCTTTTAGATTCTGAGTCCGAGGAAAAGGAGTCGAACCAACGATACCTTCAGGTTAGAGGAAGTTTTAAAACTTCTTTTCTCAGGTTTCCCTTTTTTCTAAGCTGTTTGTTTGGAAAAGTAGAGTAGGAGAGAAGTTTGACAAGTATGGCAGGCCATTTCAGCATTAAATTGGATGTCTGACCACCTTTAGTTCAATTTTGGAAATCCAAAGATGTTTTTTTATCAATTAGATCTGCATTTTGACTATATGAAAAAGGAATTTCATTTCTGACTGGTAAAAACATTGATGGTTTTAGACAGGGGCGGACAGGGCCCCCTGAAGAACCGGACCTGCCCCCCCATGATCCCATTTTAATGGAAGCCAAACAGATTCTTCATTTAATCTGTAAATAAATCCAGGATAGTCCATCAGAAACCAGCAGAAAACTTTGGATTTATGTCACACATGCGATAACCTTTAGCACAGACGAGCTGAGCTAAAAGCTTCTTTGAACTCGTCCCTAAAGGTCGATAAATGGAGCATTTTAGCAGATGTGGCTAAAAAACATGAGAAAACGCTGAGATTCTAAACATCATTGAATGTAATTTAGAGGGATAATTACTTATATCTGACATACAGAAGCTTTTAAATACATCTTAAATAATAAATCATCTTAAAGTAAATTGAACTTCTAAAAAACACAATTCTACAAACTGTGTCTCTTATTACCTTCGCTGAGGAGGTTAGTCTGTGTTCAGGATAACATTAAAGTTATCAGCAGATTTTAATGACATGTTTACCAAAGGTTCCCCTCAGTCCAACGAGCAATTCATTAACTATTGGTGATGGCCCAGATCGTAATCTGGATGCAGTTTTTTTTTTAAAGATTCTTTAAGATTAGTTGGTGGAACAAGCAGTCCCCCCCCCCCCCCCCCCCCCCCCCAACCAAAAGGTGGCAGCACTGACTACTGACAGCTTTAGCATTGGACTCAATAAAGTCCAGAAGTATTATACTAGGACGAAAACACAGGGAAGGTGAGCCATAACTCACTGTAAGACTCCATCTGATGATCAAATAAGAGCAGAGGGAATGAAGAAGGTGAGCGCAGAACAAACACCAGAGGCTGCAGTCACACACCGGGCCTTATTTATAAACTTATAAAAGGATTTGAAGGAAATTGTTACCAGAGGTTTGCCTCATTCCAAGGAATAAACTATTTACATTTGGTAATGATCCAGATTATGTGCCAGTTTTAGCCAGTGTTGCACTGATACCGATACCAGTATCAGGCGGGGCCCCGATCCAGCACTAAAATGGTGGCATTGGTATCGGTGAGTACCAACCAATAGGGCACCGATACCATTTTGAGAGCCAAAAGTTTCTTCAACTATTGTCACCCATTCCAGGTAGTTCTTTAGTTACTCTCTGTTGCCCCCTTGTGATTGTTTTCTTTCCCCTTGGATTCACTCTTGCCAGTTCCACCCACACCTGCTCCTTATTCAGCTCGTTAGTCCATCCTTTGTTCTGTTCTCCTTAAATACTCCACCTCTGCGGTCACTCAGTGCTGGTTCCTTCTCAATGCTGTACTGGTCTACTCAGCTCGTCTCTCTGTGGCTCCTCAGGCTCATTTTTCCCCCTGATGTCTCCATGGTTTTTGGTTTGTTAAACATTTTAGTTAGATTTCTGGATTTGTACCTCTGTTTCCTGTGTTCTTTAATTAAATCAGTCAGAACTCATCTCTGCTTCACTCGGCTCTGCATCTGGGTCCTTAAGCAACCTTACCACCAATTGTTGACATATAACTTTTCTTTCCTTGTCTCATTCGAGGCATGATCAATTTCCTTGCCACTGAAATTCATTTTATCATTTCAGATGACCTAGAAATAAATACAAGACATCTGGGATGATCAGTTATTTCAAGATATCTTTTATAAGTTTAATATTGTTATCTGAAATATAAATGACCAGCAGTTATAAATGTATTGCAGACATCAGAGGTGCAGCCTTCATTCACCAGGATGGAACTAGAGTTACATCCAATGCATATTTTTCCTGGTTAAATAAGGTTAAGGACATCTTGTTTAAAAAGTTTCTCCATAAATTTGTTTCAGGTATGTGGAATGTGAAGGTGATTTAGACATCCTGCCATAGGTGGGAAAACGGTTCTCTGATTAGATCAAATCAATTTGACCCTGGTACAAAAATGCTCTATAAATTGTCCTGAAATCCAACATGGTGGTGGCAGCATCATGCTGTGGGAGGCTTTGCTTGAGCCTTTAATGCTGTGGGTTCAAATTCTAGCAGGAGAGCCACTAAATGAGCCTGAAAGGGAGAAAACCTCAGATGCTGATGTAACTTGTTAAACAAATATTGTCAGTAGCGACAAAATCTATCAGCAGTTTAATTAAGTTTAATTTTGTGCAATTAAAAAAAGTAATTTTGTTGTAATTTTTGTTCTAAAAATGTGTGAATCAACGTTCTTACCCTGCCAGCGTGCATCCAGAGATGTGAGCAGCGTTGCCCGTGTACTGAACGTCACACCGAGCCACGTTGTTGTTATAGTTGGACTCTGGAACCTGCTGCCTGGGATTAACCGTCACCTACAGGAGAAGAACAAGGAGATCAGCAGGAGAAGCTCACTGAGGAGAAGCTGGAGGCCACTTTCACCAAAACGCAGAGGAAACAGCTTTATCTCCTGTTCTGATAAGGGGTTTCATCTGCTGCTCGGATATAAACACACATTCAGACCTTGAGGATGTATTTTCCAGGCTGGACGTCGGTGATGTCGATCCACTGACAGTCGATGTCAGCGTTGTAGGTGTCGTAACATCCGGGACTCAAACCCTAAAGATAAAAAACAGGGAAAAAAAGCAAAAAAAGTTTAGATAATTCATGAATTCTGATTCAAGCCCTCGTCTTTCCTTCTGCTCCCTTTAGAGGGCGCTACAGCGGATCATTGGCACCAACCCTCTTCTGTAAATCCCTACATCCGTGAACCTCTAGCTTTCTGATGCTTCGCTCGTTACTCTTAACTCCAAGAACTTAAACTTTCACCTTGGTGAGCTCTGATCCTGGTGATTAGTGTGATAAAATCAAGCAGAGAATCTAACCGGAGCACTAACAGTAGGTTGGTCGGATGTATCGATGTCTAACTTTGCAGCATCCCAAAAAAGGTTAAAAAAGTTAAAAAACAATTAGTTGGACTTTGTTTTGCTTCATCCATCCAGGAAACTTTTTCAATTCAAAATGTCTGAATTAGCGTTGAGTTCCAAGCTTTATTGAGTGGACCAACAAAGCCTGGTTATAGCTTAAGCCGAGCGTAAACTGTACGATTTCTTTGCACTTTTCGGATTGATTCTCCAGTCGTGCGACTCTCAGCCTGATCGTGTAGTACAGGGGGGTAACGAGGGGTGATCAGCCTCTAACGACCACCTCCCCATCAGGAATCGTGAGGTCGGGAGAAAATCAAACATGTTTGAAATTCAGTCGGCCATCATAAGGTGGCCGAAGGAAAAACGCTCAGTGCGCAGACAAGGATTCTTCTTCTTCTTCCTCTCAGACGAAAACTGAGAAGCATGGCGGGGGTGCGATGAGTGAAATGTAGTTCTTTCTGTAAATTGTCAAACCGTAGTAGCCACGTTTGCTCAGCCATGTCTTTGTTCAAATACGTCGTCTCCTTTTCTTTTTAGGGCTTTCAGCACAAAATTGCCCAAATATCCAAGGCAGCGCGTTTCACTCTAGTGAGCTTCATGTTCCTCTTCTACTCGTTTAGCCTCCGGATAGACGAGTCCGAGTAGCGCCATCTCACTGCGGAGCTGAGTCCCACCTGGTTTTTAGACGTACAGTGTGAGCAGGTAGATCGCATCAGAGCGTCAGGCCGCAGTGTGAGAACATACATAGTGAGCTGTGAACTCAAACCTTAAGAAGAAACTCTGCAGTTTCTTTGTACAGTGTGAGCTGTACCTGCATGCAACAATTGAAAAAAATAGTAAAATGTATACCCGGCTTTATAAAACATGCTAATTTAACTGGAAGACCAGGTCCAGCCCTTAGGAATGGGGAGTCGTTGAGGTCTTTGTTGGCCTGCAATACCCAATAATGGCCTATGCCTCTGAAAAGGGGAGTCGTTAGGGTCGCTGTGGCGTGGCTGACCAGGGGAGATGTCCTGGTCCCCTGCATGGCCAAGAGGATTAAGATAATAGCTCTATTGCTGCGTTGTGGGTTTTTGAGAGCTGAAATCTGAGACCAACTCTTCTGTTTAAGGCGACTCTATAACGCCTGATTTATGCTCAGAAAACAGGTCCTTTGCGTGTGTGTTGCAGTTAACGCAGATATCCCCCCCTTCCATTGACACTCTGGTGCACTCCCATTGTAGGTGACCACAGACAGTGCCGCAGATAGCGTCTGATTGGTCAATTCTACATCCGCTCTACACGATGCATATTTCCCTTTTTGGTTCCTAATGGCAGAAACTCTGTCTGTAGTTCCGTCCACAACGCCTGGCTCACCTCTGACACTATCACAGACACCGTGCAGGACGCTACTTTGTAGCTCTGTGCGACGGTCTGTTGGTTTGCACGCAGCGCCACGGCCAGTCTTTGGGGAACACTCACGGGTGAACCGCGTGTCGTCCGGCATTGGATGAGGGGTTGTAGACGGCGAACAAGATCGTCAAACCGACACACGGGCGCCCACAATCCTAGCTAGTTCATAATTGTCCCTCTTGCGTTGTGGCGTGGAATAATATAGTGCACACATAAGGTATAAATCAAAAATATCTGCATCATTCCTGTGACAAGCTAACTGCTACACACTGCTGCAGGAGGAAACACAGCCCATAAGCCTGGAACTCAAACACTTCTCCATACATTTTGAATTGAAAAAGCTTCCTGGATGGGAAGCAAAACGTCTTCAAACTTGGAAAACAAAGTCCAGTGGATTGATTTTTAAACTTTTTTAACCTTTTTTGCCTTGACTGAGAATCTTCACCAGCTTTTGTGTGTAGCAGTGTGTGTGTGTGTGTTTGAACCTGAGTGTGTGAGGTGCAGGCGTAGCGGCGGTAGTATCCCGGGTCGCAGGAAGTGTCCTCCAAACAGAAGCTGGCCTTGTGGCCCTCTGCCACGGCGCTTTGGGTGCGGGCGTCCAGCAGCTCGTACAGGCTGAACTCATCCATGCTGTGAAAGTGGCTGAACGAACAAGGAGGGGTTAGAGGTCAACCTCCTGAAGGAAACAGGCTAAATCCCCCCAGATAGATGCACAAAATCCAACAGAAGAAGAAGTGTTACTTTAGGACCTTGTCTTACCGTGCCGATTTATCCAGCATCTGCCTGACGTCCCAGAATCTCCTAAAATTCTAGCGTACGCTGAACTTTCTATGTATTTTTTCAATTTTGGGCGTATACGTAGAGTATTCACAACGAGTCCAGAACTTATGTGCAACGACGGCCTAACTTCTGCATAATGACCGGCAGCATCATGCATAAGCATCAGTTAAAGCTGCTCCCCAGAGGTGCCCAACCGGCATGAAAAGATGTCTTTAATCGTGGTATTAACCTAGCCGCTGTTTACCGCCTGCCAAAAAAAAAAGAATAAAGAAAATGAAAAAGAAACAAAGAAGGTTTCTGGTGTCAGCAGATTGAGCTTCATGTCTGCTGGAAAGTGTGTTGGTGGTGGGCGTGAACGCAGGGAGGATCCATCACACTCACCTTCTGGCTCACCCTATGATGGGGATGAAGTCTGGAGGAGAACTGATGGTTTCCTCCTGTGAACTAGCCTTGTGAGACCATCCTGATCTCGCGAGCTTTCAATATTTCACTCGCAGATCAGTCTCGAGACTCTCCATTAAAGAGCCGTTCACCAAACGAACGTCCAATCAGCGTTGGCTTTGAGGCGGGTTGAGGTGTGACGCAACAAGAAGCGCGACAGTTCAGTCTAAAGAACATGGCGGCTTCAGCCGATGAAACTAGCGTTAGCGTGGCTATCGAGCAAGTTTTATCGGAATTACAGAGTATTTCTTGGCTTGTGGTTGTGTTTTCGTCGTCGCTCTGTTAGTACGTCATATGCTTCGTTGATCTGATTGGTTTATTTGGCCCGTCTATCACCAACATAGGCCAATCAGCTAACCAGTATTTTCGCCCCTTCCCAAAATTACTTCAACGGAAGGTTTCCAGATGGATATGCGGAGCAAATCCATCTGGTGGAGTCAGGTTACCTGTGAACCCCATTTATACCAAAACGCTGCCAATACGCCATTATACAGTAGCTGGAAGTTAGAAACACGTTCAGCGCTCGTCTGGAACACGTCAGATACGTTGATATGCGTTGGAGAGAAGTTCTGGATAAGTTACGCAGAAGTTACTCAGAGGTTTAGGATCAGCTAGACGCCACGACTGATGAGGAACTGACACTGAACGGATGTCAACCATCAGATAACTGACCTGGAACCTACCTGTATGCCCCACGTATGGCGTACGCTGGCATACGACGTACTCGCCGTATTTCGATGTGTTTCAGCGTACTTCAGCATGCTCGTAACTTATACAAAACTTAGCCTTAACTTATCCAACATACGGCAGTGTTTTGGCCTGATTTTGCGTACATCAGTCAGGCATACACTTTGCTAAATCATCAAAGTGTGACAGGAGCGTCACTGACATCATGTCAGTCTGAACAAAAGCCTTTTTAAACGTGCTGCAATCGTTTCTGGAGCACCTCAGGGTGCCGAGTTCGGACATCTTTTTATCTCACCTCAGTTTTTTTAAATATTCTGTCTAATCTGGGCTATTCAGGCGACATAAGATAGTTATCGACATATTCTAATAAATCAAAAGCTTATTACAGTTTTATGTTTAAAATATGAATAAATTATAAATATGTAATTGAATCTGGTTGATGTGTTTGAACTTGCACCCTCATAAGCGTTATTTTTGTACTTTTAATTCTCATTCAGGAACATGTTTGTTGTTTTAGTTTTCCTCTAAATGATGTAATTTTTGATTCATTCTTATGTTTATGGTGGAACTTTAAATGATATTTAGATTCCTAGAAGATCTTCAGCGGGATATTTTCTACCCTGTGGGCCGTTCGGTTTGCTGTTGCCCCAAACCTCAAGAAGGAGCTGCTTACTTGTGACAGCTGTGCCACTCCCAGGCATATCGGGGTCTGCTTGGCAGGAAGTCGGCGGTTCCCTGATTCTTCACCCTCTGAGTGAACCTCAACAGAACCCTGGTGTCATAATCCTGAGCGTAGCGAGCGGAGCTGAAGAAGAAGAAAAGAGGAAAGGAATCCAGTTTGAACAAATCCACAAACCGATTACTGAAAAATATAAATGTACAAATGAAGATGCTACAATCCTCCCCTGACTTATTTAAACTGTAACTTTCATCAATCCTTCACCATCTTCTTTACTTTACTCTGCAGGACAGAAATGTTGGGTCAGCTTAGTTCAGAGTTAACGTCCACGTCTGAGGAACCAGGCAGGAACCTAAATGGAAACGTGGATCAGATTGATGATTCCCCTAAACTCAGAGCTCAGGCTCTGGACTCTGTGAAATTAATTTCCTCCTATTTTCCAATTATGATCCCATCAGGTATTTTGCAACATCTGCTCCCTTCAAGGTTTTCCCAGCAATGAGATACTAGCAAACCACATCCTGTTCTCAATGTATGGCTGAGGAAGAACACGGTTCTGGATGCTGGATCAAAACCACCCCCTGTACCATGCAGTATTTCCAAAGAATCAATCCACTGGACTTTGTTTCCAAATTTTAAGACGTTTTTCTTCCCATCCAGGAAGCTTTATCAATCCAGAGGCGATGTGCTCTGCTCCCCTGTAATGTTCCCCACCCCCATTACAGGGGAACAGAGGACCTCGCCTATTCAGCCAGACCAACAATTCCCTTTAACGACCCCCTTTCAGAGACATAGACAGGTATGGGGCATTGCAGGCTAACAAAGAAGCCAAACGACACCCATTCCAGAAGGGTGGACCCGTTCATCCGTTTCTATTTGCATGTTTTCTAAACAAAAACCAGGTTATGTTGGGCTGCTGGATAAAACCTGGAACTAAACTAAACTATTTCTGACATTTTCAATTGAAAAAGTTTCCTGGATGGAAGAGAAACGTCTTCAAACTTGGAAACAAAGTCCAGTGGATTGCTTTTTTTACTTTTTTGGAATGACTATGGCATGGATGACTGAGAATCTTCACCAGCATACCATACAGTACCACACCATGAAGAAGAATGTTGGAGAATTTAGAAACCAGAAATAAGATGAACGCCTCACACTGATGGAGGCCTCAGAGACGTTTCTGCAGGGAGAATGGGATGAAAAAAAACTCCAAAAACCTTCATGTCTGCGTCTCATGAATGAATGAATGAGTGAATTAGAGGATGAATGAGTGAACAGTCTGATTGGTGACTAAGATGTTGACTATTATAGCTGTCAGTCATCCCAACAGGATCAAGTTGTGGACAATGAGTGACTGATGAAGAAGAAAACATCAACTCTATGGAGAGAAATTTGTTCCATTATTATTGAGAGGAAAGAACATGTTTAAATTTGTAAAACAGATGAAAATTTGGAAAATTTAATCACCCCCCCAAAACTGAAAAAAAAAAAAAAAAAAAAAAAAAAAAATGGAAAAAAGATAAAATAATAAAATTTGAAAAAGTATCAAACTGTAAAAATATTGGTTGAATTTTTGCTCTTTATGATTTAATCTAAAAACATGCTGTTGATCAAGATGTTTTCATTTTTGAAAGATGTTCTTTGCTCCCAATAATATTGTAACAATTTCCCTCCATACTTTCTAAACCTAAAATCTTTACAACACTAATTTATAACTAAGATCCTATGTTGATATTTTGTTTTCCGTTACATGAAGCATCTCCTGTAGAGGAGTTCTTTTAGTTCTACACCACAGAGTGTCTCTGTGATGTTTGAAGGTGTTGGGTGAGGAGTGTTGGATCTTACGAGCCGAGGCAGTTCTCCTCCGCCGCACAGCGCAGGTTATACATGGGCATCCTCTGGACATACGAGGCCATCTGGATGTAAAAGGGATCAGGAACCAGATCAGGAAGACCTGCAGCAGGAGACGGAGGAAACGCTTTATCCGAGCTCAAACATCTCAGCAGCAAACATGAATGATTGGTGTTCAGATACAATTAGTAAAATAAAGCAGCAGGAAACAATCATATCCACAATCTGATCTCTATCAGTGGATGAAGATGATTTAACTTGTCTGGTCTGACTAATGTTTAACCTTTAAACCCTCATCTGATAAATAAAGACAGCTTCCTGCTTCGTTTACAAATCACTACATCAGTTCAGAAAAGCATGACAGCATGATTGGGATTGATTTTAATTCTTTTTAAATTTATATTCTCAAACCTGCGGCTCAAAAAGAAAAACCCAAATAACTTTTCTGTTTTTGCTCCGTTTGATGCTGCCTGCTGCTGGTTCTGCTTCTCTAGTCGGTTTCTTGAGGTTCTGAATCACAAGTCTGGTTGCTGCAATAGCAGCTCCATCACCAACAGAGGGCGCTGCACATCCTTTCATGGGTGTAAATAAGGGTGGAGCAGGGGGGGCTGCAGCCCTTTTCAGCGCTACGTTATGAATATGTTGTTTATACAGAGGAGTCAAAAGTATTAATTTTGATTACTCCAGTAGACGTATAAATCCTGCTGTTTAAAAACACTTTTATAGAGGTTAGAGGATCAACTTCAGCTTTTTACTCCAGTAAAAGTGTAAAAGTAACATTTTTAAAACTACTTAAAATATTAAATTAAAAGTAAATCATAAAAAAATGTTAAGACCAGAAGCTTTACTGCTCTACTCTATTAAAGGAACATTTTTCTACAACTGGATGATAACTTCCTTAGATTTAATTTTCTTACTTTTATAACTAATAATAACAGCATCACATTTAACTTTGCATCATCTTTAAAAATGATTTATATTGGTATATGGTGAGCAACAAGTTGGGGCAGCACTGAGTCCAACCACAAAGAAGATGAAACTGATTATTTTGATCGGCCATAATGAAAATGAGCTTAAATGAAACAAAACTAACGAGACTATTTTTAAAATGCAAGGAGTAGAAAGTAAAAAGTCTAAAATATAATTATGTAATCAGTGTAGATGGACAACATTAGTAATTATAGACTGAAAGAAATAATAATAGTCATATTAAGTTACTTTAATGAATTGTAATGAATAAAAGAGGTTTTTTTTGTTCAGCATATTATAGTATGATGAAGAAGTTTGATATAGAAAAAAAAGTGTCTCATTTATTGGAATAAAACTTTTTAAAAAGCAGCTTCAAAGACTGGGACACCTGGGAAAAAAAATGCTTTTTTTATTAAGTTAAAGCAAAATATAAATTCTGCTTTTGTTCTCATCCAAGTCAGAATGATCAATATTAATGAATTAATTATCAAATAATAATTATTAGTTTAATTGTTGTTGATTTATTTTCCAATCTGTTGTTTTGATCCAGAACTGGAGTCTGTGTTTGTGATCATGATGGTGAATAAATAAGTTATCAGAAACTGAACCTCTTAGTTTGGGTCAAAATGCATCAAATAATTTAAAGTGTTGTTAGAGCACACTGCAAAAACCACCTAAAAATGAAAAAAATGTCTTAAATTAAGTGTATTTACCATTAATTTGAGCAGGTAAATGATATAATTTGCCAAAGGAATGAGTATTTTCAGTCTTAAAATAAGATAATTAGACAATATGCACTTGAAATAAGACAAGGCGATTGTGTTTTCTTATTTTAAATGTATATTGTCTTGATCCACTGGCAAAGTGTCCTAATTAACTCCTCAATTCAAGAAAAAATGCACTTATTGCAAGAAAAAAATGACTTATTTAGATTTCAAATTTTTGCAGAGCAGAGGAGAGCTGCAGCCTTCATCTAAGGAGGATTTGAGTTTTCCAGCTTCTGATCATTAATCTGAGCTCCTTTAATAAATGAATTTATTCCTGCTCATCTATTAATGATTCCCCTGGTCCTGGTTCTGGTCTGACCCATTAGACCGCTCTGGTGGTTCCGATGCTGAGCAGGAACATCTGTGTTCCTTTAAGTTTGGAGCTGAGCTGCAGTAATGAGGCAATAAAACCTTCATCACCTGGAATCTGCAGCAGTTTTAATAAATGCTTCATGTTGTTCTCACCGTTCTGGTGGTACTGGGTTCCGTATCCGGGCCGAACCCTGGGTCTGGGTCTCTGGTAGGTGTCAAAGTAGTTGTAGTAGGGGTCATAGCCGTGCCGCTTGTAGGGGTTGTAGGGATCATCTCCCACCATCATGTCCTCCCTGTTCACCGGGGCTGACTCTCCTCCAGCAGCGCGCGCCTGCTGACGCGTCATGGCGCGGAGCTGCCTGGAGCCGCTGGCGGCGGGGACCCGCGGGGAGGACGCGGCGTCCGCGCCCGTGTCATTGGAGCTGCTGATCACCAGAACCGGGTCGGTGCTGCGGGGGGAGCCGGTCTGCCTCCTCCCGCTGGGTCTGTACTGAGCGCCGCGGCTCAGGATGCTGAAGACCTGCCCGTTGTGTTGCCATGTCAACCCCCTCCGGAGCGCATCGGACTCCGCAGCCTCCTGAGCGCAAACGGCCTCCAGGAACCAAAGATGCGCAAAGGAGAAGAGCGCCAGGCGAGCGAAGGAGCGCAGCTGCATGGTGGAGGAAACCAGGAGGTCTGAGGAGTTTGGAGCTCAGGCACCAACCTCTGATGGAGGGAGGAGTGAGATCAGCCTCTGTCCTCCTCTCAGGCTCACAGCTTTAACTCTTGCTGCTGCAGCAGATTAGCTCTGGATATCAAACTGATTATTATTATTTTAAACTCACATGTATTTCTTTGTAGAACTGGTTCAAACAAACCAAAAGGAGGCATTAAATATAAACAATCCTAAAAATTTAATGTGAAAATCCTTTGATTTTACAATCAAATATTTGAAAAACTGTTCAAACTGTTCAGATTGTCCTGGTTTGTTCTCTGCAGATTAAAATCTAAACCAGATTATTTTTTTCTGAAAGAGGAAAACACAGAAATAAAACGTCAGGAAGCAACATTTCTCCTGTAAAAGGTTTCAGTTTGTTCCAGTGAGTCCCTCTCCTCTCTGCAGGCTGAGGTGTGATGTTCGGCCTCTCCTGTCTCTAATTACAGCATCTCGGTGTTCAGAGCTCAGCCTGAAATTACTCTGAGGTTTCTAAATGCTCCTTTCTGTCCTCAGACTCAGATCAAAACAAAAACCTTTCTCTGCTTTTCTCTTCAGGTTCATGATCACAGATTTTAAACAACATGTGACCAAAACCAAGCGGCTGTTTTAATGGGATTAGTTTGGCATAGAGGTGAACTAGAACCAGTGGTGGACGAAGTACTCAACATTAGTACTTGAGTAAAAATATTGATACTTATAGTCAGTAGTCTAGTTTTAAAAAAAAGAAGGGTTGTGGTGGATTTTTTTTTGGGAAGCATAGATAGCCTAATTAAAGGGAAACACATTTTTTTTTACATTGGTCCCTTGATTTTACATTATTTCATCATGTTCTACTCACCCATATTAGTTTTGTGTCATTTGGAGCCGTTCTGAAGATATTCCGTTAGGTTATATCCAAGTAACGTCTTCCTTTGGCACGAGTTGAAGCCACAAACTAAAATGTTCATCATTTATTCTTTATGGTACACCAGCATTCAGAACATGGAGGCCAATCACTGTCCCTTAGACATCCGCGGGTATATTTTTTTTATTTATATTTTTTTAAACAAAGCGGAGTGTGTATGACATCATCCGCGCGCCGGACTGGAGTTGTGACAAGCAGCCCGGGCCGCAGGCGGCTATGCTCTACCCCTTCTATTCTTTCTAGCTAATCTGAATCGCTCAATTCCATTAGGAGAGCGAGATCATCTGTGGTAGCAGCACTAGACATCTTCCAGGCATGTGAGGAAAACTAGCAGCAGTTCAGCGGACAGGATGAATGAACGGTAGCCGGCGCACGCAGATGACGTCATACACACTACGCTTTGTTTTAAAAGATATAAATATAAATAATATAACTCATTCTTTCTCTATAGAATAGAGGTTCAAAGTTAAATCAACAACTAATACCTTAATAAAATTATAAACTACTAATAATATCTGCTCTGAGTTTCTCTCATTTGTGGAACGTCATTAAATCTCTAAACCCGTGGCATCCGGATTCTAGAAGGGCTGCTTTCTGCCATGATGGAACTACATTTCAAGAAAGAAAAACAGCAACAGAGGATTATGAGCATAAAGGAGCAAAGAACCAGCAGCTTCCTGGAGATGGAATGAAAGTTATAAGTAAAGACACTCAAAATAAGTACAGTAATTCATAAATTGAATGTTGTTAATTTCCATCACTGATTAGCACCTTATATTTGGTTTTTAAACTTTTCTAAATAAAAAGTATAAAAACTGTTGCAAGTGTTTGGATTTAGCTCCAGAGGAAAACTGCTTGTTAAACAACCTGAAGCTGCTGATCTTTGGCGGTTGGTCTCTAAGCCTTTAGTAACTAGAAGTAGAAGTAACTTTTGGCTTCTTCTCTGATCAGTGGCCCCTTTCCTTAGCCTGTCAGTCCAGGTCGACCTCACTGGAAAAAAATCTAAACAAGTTACTTTTTCTTAAAATAAGTAATTTGTTCTTGAATTGAGGAGGTAAAAGAAACATTTTGCCAATTGAACATAACAATTTACACTTAAAATAAGAAAACACAATTACATTGTGTTGTATTAAGAGCATATTATCTAATTATCTTATTTTAAGAGTAAAAATATCTCATTTACATACTTACATTAAGGGTAAATACACTTAATTTAAGAAATGTTTAATTATTGCTAGATAATATTTCCAGTGTCCAGGTTGGTCTGCAGGTGATCCATCCTTTCTCTAAGTTCAGATGATGATGTCATCAGAATAATGGGAGAGGATCAAAGCTCGGGTTCTTCTAGAGACTAAACCTGCTTTAAAATGAAGCAGAACCTTCCTGACCCGCTGGGTTTATGCTTCTTCATTAAAACGTTTCTTCTCTAAAATAAAATATCCAGAGTCTGTCTGCATCAGAGTGAAGGATGTGCCACTTATAAAGTTCTTATTCAGGAACCGTTCTGCCTCCATGGTTCTGGTTCTGATCCGCTTTGTGTTGGTCTGTCACATGAAGGTCGCTGACCCAAAGAGAAGAAGTTCAAAGGTCATGAACATTTCCCTGTTAGTAGATGTTCTACATCTGATCTTTTCTCCTCACACAAGCTGGTTTTGTTTGGTTTTACTGGACCCCCCCACCCCCCCACTGGGAGCCCAGGATGCTTTAAAACAGCTGAAACTGAAGCATTTACCAGCTGAGAATTTCCTCTTCATAGAACCTTGTAAAAGGCTCCATCTGCCACCCAGGGAGCAGAAGCACTTTTCCTTTTCAGTCGTTTTTGGTTCCAGGTAGAATAATTCAATCAGAAAAGGCCGCCATTAGTTGCTCTATTTAAAAAAAAAAGCTAATTGTCGGGTTAATAAAATGTAGGTTTTTGCTTAAGAAGAACTGAAATACACAATTTATGGATACAATTCCTGCAGGAAGGAGAGACAGTTGAACCCCAGACTCAAACACACTGTCTCCCACCGGACCTCCTCTGCAGAGCGTTTATTAACAGAACATGACGCATGGTTACAAACAGTATTGTTCTGACAGAACAATTGATCAGTTCATGAAGACAGAATGCTCCATCAGAATGACAAGGCAGGATGGTCTCCTGACTGAATCATGAGACAGGAGTGGAGCATTCCCTTGCACAAATGTTTTATAAGCACACATTAATTTTATAATCATCACTGAATAAACCTGACACTAATAATCGATACAGAAACAGACTTTTGTAAAAATGTTCTGCTGAGGTCTTGAAGTTTCAAGGAGGGAAAATTCGTTTTATGAGCTGATTTGTTCAGCGACATGTTTTTATCCACCTTTACAAAAATCTAACATTTATTTCATCAACAGCTGCTGAAATCTAGAACATGCAATCTGTGGCCACATAAAAGCTGGTGAGCTGATGTGATGCGTACTGGTCAAAATGGCTGAACCGTGTCTCATAAAGTGAGAAGTGGAGCAGCAGTCGTCAGCGCAGCCAGAAGTTTGGTCCATCAGAAGTTAGGGTGTTAGATGTTCCTCAGCTTCCTTTTCATTTTTGAACTGAAATAGCTTCTTGGATGGGAAGTGAAACGTCTTCGACTTGGAAACAAAGTCCAGTACAGTGTTTTTAATTTTCTTGTTTTGGAGTGAGATGTTCTCCATACTCAATGCTGAACCAGATGGACAGGAGGACCGTCCTGCAGAGAGCAGATCGGCTGATGCTCCAGTTGGTTTGTGTCGGAGCTCCAGCATATTTTTGCACACTAGTGGTGAATATCTAGGTGGGATCTAGAAAGATATCTAGAAAGAATCTCAGGAAGACAACGAGAGCATCGCTACACCGGCGACCAATCAGGCATTGAGAACCCATCCTTCAGATCCTTTAACGCTGGAGTTTGATCAACACCTGTTCGGGTATTTAATCTCACCTGCAAGCTGAATTCTTTTGGTATTTTGCTTTATAAACACACTGAAATTATTTAGGTCAGACTCAAAATGGCTCAGCCAATCATGTTACAGCGTTATGGGTTAAGGTGGGACACAACAACAAACATGGCGGCACAGGAGGACGTGAAGTAGGGGCTGCCTTAATCCTGTCTTCTGCTGCTATTTGATTTGTTACCATTGGCTGAAACTAAACTCTGGTAGGCGCGCACTAGGGCTCGCTTCGCCCAATCTGCTCGGATGGTTCTCCTGAACACCTTAAGGGAGCAGTCCCAGATTAATGATGTGTTGAACTACGCCTGAGTTCTAGACATAAATTAATCTGGATTATGAGGTTACAGATGACTGAGAATCCTTCAATGCAAACTGGGGAGGAGGAAGTCAGTCAGAAATCTTTAATGTGCATCTGCTGCTGAGCTAAAAATACTGATTTTAGGCAGGTTCCAGTTAGATAAAAGATTTAGGAAGCAAACCTCTACATGCAAGCAGAGTCAGACTGTCAGAGCTGACTGTAAGGTCAGCAGGAACTGATGCATCAGATAGACGAACTACTGCCGACTCTAATGGTGTCCAAGCATTAGTCTGAGCTCATCTATAGACCAGAGTCAGGTGGTAGCGTCCAATAATGGCCATGGATTGACCTCCCTGCCTTCCTTTGGTTAGAGGGACAGACAACAGGCGGCACACGACTAAAATGAGGACTTTGCTCAACTGTGAAGAAAAAAGGATCCTGAATGAGATGAGGAGGCAGCAGCCATGAACCCAGCAGGCCGGAGTGATCCTCTTAGATCGTCTTCTTCTACAAAACACCCAAAGCCTTTAGTAGAACAGGATGTGTGTATCGTATGAGGCTGAAGATCTCAAACACCCTAAGATGATAGCAGATATTCTATGTTTGTGAGACATGAAACCGATATGTGCTGCTGCCATCAACACCTTTGTTTCTAGATGTTGGAGCTTGGCCTGTTTTTCAGTGTAGTCCTGTTTCTCTGACTGTGACTGGCTGGATGTGCTCTCTTCATCCTCTGAGATGGGAGCTGGTTAGGAGTTCGTTTGCCTGGCTGTGTGTTTCCTGGAGCTGGTTGACAGTTGACTTTTGTATCTCTTCTGGAGGTTTCTTCCTGTTAAAAGGGAGTTTTTCCTCTCCACTATCGCTACAAGCATGCTTAGAGTGAGCAATTGCCTTTTAGTCAAAAAGTCGATGCAATCAGCTGGTTTTCCTTAGATAGAAAACTTTGAATCAATCTGAATGGATGATCTGGTGAACTGGAAAGTGCCTTTTGATAACGTGTTGTGAATTGGGGCTATAGAAATAAACTAATCTGAATAGATAATAATCATATAATAATCAGACCAGCACGGTGGTGAGGAGTGGTGCTCTGCAGGGTGTCTTTGCTGTTCAATCAGACTGAGTCCAGATCGTCCTTATTCTCTCATTCGTTTATTGAAAACCATTAGAAACAAACGGTTTCGTTCATCCTTTATTGACCTCTGATCCATCAGGTGGAGCAGCGGGAGGATCTGCAAACGATCAGCAGCTTCATCTACTTCCCAGCCATCCTGTGGCAGTCTGGTCCTGAAAAACAAAATCAACAATAAAACAGCAGCTACAAGGACATTTCTCAAAGTATTGCTTCATTTAAAGAAGGAACCAAAGATGATTCCCTAGCTCTGACAGATAGATTTAAGTAATATATGAAATCTAATTTGGTTCTAAGTTGCTTTAAGCCAAACCTCTACTGTCAAACAACACCAGCTAATCTGATAACTCAGATTAGCTGTAAAGTTGGTGTCAAATGCAGGGAAAGAAAACTGGTTTTATGTTGCAGTAGAAATGCTGGCGCTTCGGTTTTCGGAGCATCTGCAGATAGCCACGCAGCAGCGTGAAGGTTCACAAAATTCCTCGTAGCTAAAGGAAAACATGACGTGTCTGCAGAGGAGCTGCGTTTTTACAGCGTTTCTTTAAAGATCAAAGAGATCACAGCGCTCTGCTTTCAGGTATACAAGCTAGCAGCAGCAGCTCAGTTTCCAATGAGAAGCAGGTGTCGGCCTGATCTTAGCGCTTTACATGGCTTCATAATGAGAGCTGGCTACCTGGAGGGGCCTCCTGCACACAGGACACATAATGAGCCAGAGAAACCCAAAACATTATAAGCACTGTACAGACGGCAGATCCTTCACAATGAGGTCACATTTGGGTTTTTGTAAGAGAATAAAGTGCAGAAAAACAAAAACAATAACAGGCCAATCAGATGTGATGGAGTGTTGGGTGTGATGCAGAGTAAAAGCTTAAAAAGTGTCAGCAGAAAGCAGCAGTTTTAAATAAGACCCAAACAGCCCGCAGGCTGGTCTGTAAAAGCTGCAGTTTAATACGTTGTTGAACCACTGATATAAAGAAAAGAAAAACGTGACACACGTAACCCTCCTTAAGTATAAACACATGTTAAACTGAGTTGGAATACAGGCTAACAGATTTAATTTGTCCTTTTTAAAGTATTTTGTTCTAAATACATTACTTTCAACCTTTCTCCTCACGCCTCATCACTTCACATGTTGACCAGGTTTTATATGGAGAAACAGTGCCAGATTATAGAAAGCCTTAAACCCAAGTCAAATTGGTTGCATCCGACTCTTTAATCTCCCTTGGATCCTGTCACCTATTTCTTCTTTAAGGGTTGCAACCAAGTTTCCTTCCCCTGATATCTGGTTCTTGCCAACCTTGGTTAAAGTTATGCCAAACATCCAGCAGTTAAATCTCAGATCGTCTCCCTGTGTTCTCTGATTGTGGTTCAGTTAGCTCAGTTAGCTACTGGGTGGCCTAAATTCCAAATATCTTCCTGTGCAAATGAACACAAAATGCTAATTTTTCAGTGTAATTTAACTTATCTCTAAATCAGTGCTGCGGTGGTTCCGTCCTCTATCTGTCTGTTTTACTTACTGCTGCTGTTTCTTGCTGGGTGACACAAGAATGTCACAGTTCAAAAACATCTGTTTAATTCATAAAATCAGACATGGTTTAGCACCACCTCCACTATGTGACTTTGTAGTTCAGATCCAGTGAGGTCAGGGTAACCAGAGGGGCAGTGAGGGAAGACTGCATCATCCCCAGGAGAAAAACAGCCTTTGGTCAGGCTGTCTTTTCCATAAGGGCATCTCAACAATGGAACACAGTGCCAGAAACCATTAGAGGGCCGGATCTATCAAAGGTTTGCGTGTATAAAAACGTGAGCTATTTCACAGCGCACGCAAAAACATGTACAAACTGATCTATCAACAGCGTGCTAAAAGGATTTGGTCTTAAAAACGTGCTAAATAGCGCCTCTTATCCATTTAGTACTTTTTCTGCAATGAATATGCAATATGGGGCGTTTACACGCAAAACTGCGTCTTGTTGGAGGAGAACATGTAAATAAATTAATTTAGCACTCGCAAAGTGATTTATCAAACCTGAAAGCAATTTTGCTAAAGGTATCTGACTCTATATTTAACACGTTTCAAAAGAAGGTGCAAATGGTCTGTATGCGTAATTGCAGGTTGCCCTTTTTATATCTGGCTGGGGGACTACCAATGAAAATTAGCACTCCTTAGCTAACTCGGGTATATTTACATTGTTTTAATGTTGATTAATGTACACTGTCCACTTTCAAATAAACAATAAATGAATGAAATAATCCTCATTGGTCATTTTCAATGGTGTAACATAAAAAAACTGATATGAATCAGTTTCAGGACCACATTTGAATGTGGTCAGTCAAAAAAAGTCAAATGTAGGTCTTATCCGAGCGTCTAACCTTGTTTTAAACACCTGATCAGCTGATCTGGGCCAAAGTTGCCAGCAGTGTGAAAATAACATAATCTGAGATGTTTTCCTGCTTCCGTGAAACTAAATTCAATTGATGGCTGATTAAGAGGCTTTTGTTAAAATTTAATGATGAATCAGGTGTGTGTGTGTGTGTGTGTGTGTGTGACTTCACAGGCTGGTAACGCTGACTTCAGCCCTGATGAAGACCCTCGAACGGTTGGTCTCACACCTTCTACACCAAGTGGTGAAGACTGTCCTGGGATTGGGGCAGTTGATGCCATCATCTTCCTCCTGCTCCAAGCTTTGACTCACCTAGAGAAACCTGGAAGCGATGTGAGGATCATGTTCTGTGATTTCTACACTGCTTTCAACACCATCCTGCCAGGACTTCTAAGGGACAAGCTAGAGCTGTCAGGAGTGGACCAGCAAATGTCCCAGTGGACTACCTCACTGGTCCCCCACAGTATGTGAGGGCACAGGGCTGTGTCTCAGATAGGTTTGTCTGCAGTACGGGGGTCGCACATCTGGTTCTGTTAAAATGACCCGGGGCGGTGCTGTCAGTGTACACCAAAGCTCTGTCCTCAGGTCAAAAATAGTAATAATTTACTCTCCTCCGTATTTTGGACTCATTCTTGTAATCTAATATTTCTATCAGCTCTTTATCAACAAACCTAAGAGAGCAAAATGGGAAAAATGAACCTGAAAGGATTAAACTGGTCTCCATTTGAGGGAACGTCTTTGAGGACGTGACAGTTTTCACTCCGAGGGGATAAAAATACTCCTCCTGTTACCAAACATCTGCAAAGGAGGAAAGCAAGCAGAGCAGCACCAGCAATTAAAGGCAGGTTGGGTTTGGCCCGGCCTCCTCCAGCATCACGCGTCTGGAAAGAGAAAAACATTGTTATAAAAGCTGTTCTCAACCTAGAGGGTTTTATGAAAAAAGCAAATATGGAAAAATCTTTGAAGGAATCCTTAATGCATGAAAAGTCTTAGTATCCTGCAGCTGCAGAGGGATTCAGCCGCCTATTAACATCCTACAGAATTATTTCACTATAGGATTTTGGCTTTGCCTGGCTCTCTGTGGCCATCTCTTGGCTCTAAAGTGCAGCTCAACCACTCTTATGAAAACTTCTGTCACTGAGCCCAAATCCCTTCCTTTGTCTTTTAAATTTAGCATCCGCTTAAAAAATAGTGTTACACAAAATCTGTTCTTTTACTTTCAGGTAAGAAGAACATAAAGGGTTTTTTCTTACTGATGCAGATCATTCAGTCACCAAGGAGAGGGTGAAAATATAAGATGGCCATGTTTGATTTAATCTTATTAATATTACAGGGACGGAGTGAGACTAAACTAATAAATCAGTGTTCAAAACTAATAACATTTTAATTTATTCAGTGGAATTAGGAACGGTCTCGTAAAATGATTTTCTAACCCAATAAGGACATTTATTGTGCATTTTAACCGATCTACTAAAAAGCTTATTTCCGACCACTTTTTCCGCTGTCGATTTCATTTCTGAGACTAATCTGCAGTTTTATGTCCAGTGCACCCAAAGTGTGGATGAACTGAATCAAAAGCTAATTTAATGCAGCCATAGATCTACTCTGGTTATTTTTTTTCTAAAACAAAAATTACATTTTATTTCTCATTTATTTCACATTAAGAACTGTTAAAAAACAAACTTTAAAGGTCTTTATATAGATAATAAATTACAGGCACCAGGGGTGGAAACTAATGAATTACATTTACTCAAGTTACTGTAATTGAGTACTTTTTATGAGTAATTTGTAATTTTCTGAGTAGTTTTTGAAATATGTAATATTTACTTTTACTCAAGTGAATTTTAACCTAAGTAGTTTTACTTCGCTACATTTAAACCCCCTCACGTTACTGAGTGAAAAAAAAAAATAAAAACTGATGGTGAAAAGATGAAATGCGGCCCTGCCTTGCATTTATCCTTTGTATTGTCTCATAATCCAGTGCTGCGCTTCGGAAGATGGCTGCTGCTAATCACAACGTAGGGAGTATGGATGAGGAAAGGCCTGAAGAGGAAACATATTCTGGAGACGAAAGCCAGAAAAACCCTCGGCCATATTTGGAAGGATTATTTGTTTTCAAATGCACAAAAGGGAACAATGTGATGACGAAGGGCAACATGTGCCTGCCCAGCAAAACGGAGCTTTCGGCTTTTAAAACATCAGCAATTTACGTAAAAATGTGGCGGTAAGTGAGTTATCATGGTGTCTGTTGGACAGTAGGTTTTAAAATAGTTTGCACTTTATGGTTCAGCTTCTGACTGTCCTTCTGCTGTGAGGAAGTATGTTCTTTAGCCCAGCTGATCTTTTGCAGTGTGGATTTCCACTGAAATACGCCGATTAAAACACCTTGTGCTCAATTCCATTCATGACTCATCCTTTTTTTGCATTAAATAAATCAAAGTAACTAAGTAACTTTTACTCAAATTACATTTTAAATGAAGCAATTTTGTACTTTTACTTTAGTAAATTTTGAGATGGGTAATTTTACTTTTACTCTGAGTAGAATTTAGGCAAAGTAAAGATACTTTTACTCAATTACAGTTTTTTAGTACTCTTTCCACCTCTGACAGGCACATACGTTTTAACCATACAGAAATCAAATAAGCATCTCTTACGATTCATCGAGCTTGCAGAAATAAACTTGGTTAAAAAGAGCATTTTTCACCCTTTTTTAGACCTTTAAAAAAAGAATCACATACAAAAAAAGGAATATTTAGCATTTGCCTATTTGATGGGTTGAACCCGTGCTAAAATGTTGTACAGCTGATGGTTTGTTGACAGTATTAAAGACTGGATTAAATCTACTAATACAGATCAGTAATTGTCACACTGAAGCAGCTCCCCCCTGCTTATGACAATGATATGACATGTTAGCTTCTTTCCGAAAAACCCCAAAGTTCAAAGTTCACCTAAAAAATCCTGACCAGTGAACTTCCCAGGCTGCCAAAAGTACGCTGTCTCATTGAATGTGGTTAAAAGCTGATTATAGAAGGTTCAGGTTTGGTGGGTTGGAGGGGCTTGACAACATTTTGAGGGAGCTGAAGCCCCCCGAAATAGGCCTAAAGATGTCAGGGGGCCGCGGCCCCTACGGAGCAATCTGGGCCTAAAGGCCTGGTTATACTGCAGTGTGTCGCAGTGAGCTTGTTGCAGACATTTTTGATTTCTGCCCAGTATTGAAGCGTGGTCTGCGTTATGTTATTCCACGCCACAACGCCAGAGGGCCAATCAGGAACTAGCTGTGGGTCTAGATACGGCCGAGGCGGTGAGGAAGTGGGGGCAAGTTTGTGCGACAACGGAGGGACATGAGGGCCAAAAAGAGCGGGGATCCAGGTGGAAAAAGGCTCCCAGCGTTCTCGCGCACCTCGCTCTGCTAGCTGCTCCATCTTCACCAGTCGTTTTCCACAATGGCGGTCAGACAAACAAAACAAGCCTGTAAGGAACCAAACAGGAAATACTCATAGTGTAGAGTGGATGCAGACTTGACCAATCAGAGGCCTCCTGTCCACGGTCACCTACAATTTTGGAGAGGTGCAGCAGAGTGTCTGCGGCAGGGGTGGGGGCATATTTGCATTGACACACGCAGACGACCTGGTTTCGGAGTATAAATCAGCCTAAAGATGTCAGGGGGCAGCAGGCCTTGCAGAGCAATCTGGGGCTTAGATTCCTGGCCGGGGGCTAAAGTATCATTATGTGGAATTGGAACCAGTGAACAGGGCCTTTCACCCTACTTCAACCACTAAACCAACTCTCCCCATACATTTGCCACAGTATCTCTCTGGATGTTGGATACTGTTTGTCTTGAAGTATTAAGGTTCAAAAAAGGTTTTAAATCTTTTACTTATCTCTGTATTCTATATTATCTGCTCATCTGGTCTACTTCTAAGATTAGGCTTGAAACTTTCCTTTTTGATAAAGCTTATAGTTAGAGTTGCTCAGGTTATCCTGAGCTATCTCTATAGTTCTGCTGCTATAGGCTTAGTCTGATGGAGGACATAGGGACCCCTTTTTCATCATTATGCTTCATTCTATCTCCATTCTCCTATTTTGCAGTATATTTTAGTTTAGTCTCTAACTTTATGTTCTCTCTACTTTTTCTCATAATGGTTGCTTCATCTGATCTACTCCTGTTTGGCTGTCCTGGGAGCTGGCTCGGAGCTCGTCTGCCTGGCTGTGTGTTTCCTGGACGGGGCCGCCTGTGGAGCTGGTTGCCTTTTGTATCTATGCTTCTTTTTCTATGTCTGCTTCTGTCTCCTTGAACCCCAGTGGGCCTCAGCAGATGGCCGCTCACACTGAGCCTGGTTCTGCTGGAGGTTTCTTCCTGTTCAAAGGGAGTTTTTCCTCTCCACTGTCGCTACAAGCATGCTTAGTGTGAGGGATTGCTGAAGAGTCAATGAGTCGATGCAATCAGCTGTCTGATCTAGTTGAATTGTCTCTGTAAAGTGCCTGGATTATGATGTGAATTGAAATGATCAGTCAGAGATTTCAGAGAAAGTTATTATTAGATGTTACTTATTTTAATTAGCCACTGATTTATTTCTTGGGACTTTATGTGCTGCTAGAACAATCAAAACATGAATGGAAATCTATTTCCCTTTAACTTGGACCTCTTTAGAGCCCGATCTTAAACTATAGCTGATTTCTTTGGAACAGTTTAAACTTATTTTAAGAAAAAGAAAAATCTCCCTATGACACTTTCCTATCTTTTATGACGGTATTTTATGGCCTTATTCTAACCTTATTTCTGTCATTTCATTATTTGGCATGTGTTTCTAACTTTTTAACGGATTTTTATTAGTTTTATTTGAGAGGCTCTGTTGTTAGTGACATTTTTTATCTCATTCAGAGGGTTACCACCTTTTTATCTCCCAGGATGTCTCTGAGGTTTTCCCCGGGGAGATAGATGTTCCCTCCTGAACCTGTTAACCCCATGACCAAGTCAAGAATCAGCAGAAGATGGATGAGAGTTAAAAGATTTCTTTGGCCGAATTTTAAAATATGTTTCTTCCTACAAGATGAATAAACTGAACAAAACAGAGCAGTTTGGGGATGATACACAGGAGCCCCCAAATAATAATATACTGGTGTTGGTTGTTTGTTGGTTGTTTTTTGGGTGATTTAAAGATCGTAAACAAAAAGAAAAAAGTTTTTATTAAAAATAATAATAGAAATATTTTTGCAGCAACATTTTTAATGAGGATGTTTATTCAATGAAGAGTATATGCAAAATGAAAACTTGACAAGAACTAATTGAACTAATTGAGAAATAATCTGTTTCCATGGGGACCAGATGTTTGTTTTAGCATACTATAGAAAAAAGCAGATTTCTTCACTTCTTGTCTTCAAGAGGTTCCAGACATCAAGAAGATGCCGCTGACATGCTGCCCCCTGGTGGACGAGGAGAACAAAGCAGCAGGTAGGGATGGAAGGACTAAATGTTCTCACCTCCCATTCTATGCATCAGATGTTTGGGTTACTTTGGTATTATTTTTTCTTGATTAGTTTTATCTTTATATTTCCTACATTGTTCTTCAAATTTTTCAAAGCTTGATTTATCCTTAAATATCTTATAATCTTCAGTAATTACAACCATTCGTTTAATGTAAGCTTCATAATTCTGCTCCCCTTCTAAGGTCTGTTTCCATTTTGTGAACATAGTATTCTCTCTTTCTATGACTTGTTTGAGGTCTTCCATTACCTCCTCCTTAGTTTTTCTATTTTTTCCCTTATTTTCCAGTTTGCTGGAACCCTCAGGTGTTGCCGATCCAGTGAACCCTCTTCTGCTTGGATCAATCCAGGTTCCCCCTCTGGCCATTGAATGTTCTTTGAACAAAAAATCTAATGCATTTTGCTTCCAATCTTGATTTCTAGTCATATCCAGAGCCATGAGAATTAGAGGGAAGGTCCGAAAATTTCTGGCAGATTCTGATATAACTGATGCAGTGAAATAGGTGGTGCACCAAGCCTCTTCTTCTATAGGTTTAATATGTGCAACATTTCCTTGGAAAATATTTATGAAGTACTGAACACACTCGTCCTGATCTTTAATCCCATTTTTAATGTCTCCATACTTTTCCTTGCCTATTTGGACTTTGATACGTTCTTTAATAGCATCGATTGAGGCAGGATCCATTTGGTTATTATCCAGCTTTTTTCCAACAGGATAAACATAAAGATTTTCAGGATCTACTTCATATATCCAGTTATTGACCATCTGGTATTTGGTCTCATCTTCTCCTTCTTTTGCAAAATGACGAATAATTAGATGAACGTCACTTCCAGATTTAATCACATAGAAGTTACTGAGTACTTCTTTTATCCCTTTCTGTTCTTCCAACCAGGTAATGTTTCCATTTTCTCGTTTTCCATCGACATATTCATTCATTTCTACATTGATCTACTTTATCTCTTATTAATTTGGTTGGCTCTGGACAAAACAGGCCCCAAGTCAAGCCTTTCAAGGTCTCTGGAATTTTGTTTTAATTTATCAACATTGTTCTGGTCGACTTTATTAAAAACTTCTTGGTTAATAAATATTCTAAGTTCAGTTGGCCAGCTGTTTCTATACTTCTGAAACCTTGGATTAACTGTTGGTTTAGGTGGTAGGAGAACCTGTTTTGGTTACATCTTTACTGGGATTTCTTCCATCTTTGGGATAAGTGGAACGATCTTCTTTGATTGGTGAGGACTTCCCGTCCTCTGTGGTCCGTCTCCTTCCTCCTCCTCATCTTCCTCCTCCTCATCTTCCTCCTCCAAAACACTGCAGCTGCAGTCAGAGAGCAGAGCGACTCTCCTCTGTTCCACATGAGCCACACATGTGCAAAGCTTCCACTGATTCCCCCTGAAGTAACAAGTTGGATCTAAATATAACAATTTGCATTTTTTGAACCTGTTGCACTAAAATACATCCTTCCTGCATTTCAATCCTAAACAACTTTAAGATAAGTTTGATAACACAAAATTGTTTTAGTTTCAGTTCAGATTAAAGTAACCTTCTGGAGCACTAGAAATTTTATTATTAAATTTATCAGTTTTAACTGTATTTGGAGTATTTCTAATAACTTTCTGTTTCTAATGCTGATATACTTATTATATGCAAATTATGTGATTATGTTTATGCATTTTACAGACGCTTTTATCCAAAGTAACTTACAGAGTAGACACAGTTTTACAGTTATCATTAATATGAAAACTCTGATTATGTGATTAATAATAATAAGTGTAATAAATGCCATATGACAAAGGTTAAGGTAAAACCTGGATAAATTAATTATTATTACTGTATTAAATAATTATTATTATATAGATGAAATTTTAATGGAAGATGTTAGCAATAGAGACCGACATCTTTTCGGGAATCCCACGGGTCACAGGATTCCCGTGGGATTCCCGTGGGATGGGAGTCAGTATTAGTAACGATCACGTGATTGGGAAGGTACAGGATTAAACATTAACAGGAGCAGACGGGAGCGGGAGCAAACCGATAGTAACTAAAAAAAACTAGGATCAATGCCAAAAAATAAAATAAAATAAAATAGAAAGAAAAAAAATCCAGTACTGGCGCCGCCATTTTGTAGTTTTTTTCCTTGAAGCCTACACTATAATGCGAGTCAAAAAAACTACACGACCCAAAAACCAACAGTACTTCCGCTCTGAGTTTTTCACCCGAGCTCAAAAACAACAATGGAGGGACCAACAGTTAGTGGCGAACTCGACTTCGAAAAGTTTGATTTGAACTTAACTGACCCTTCATAGAAATTCAGATTCAATGTATTGGCAGAAATCTTATTGAAGACAACAAGAATGGGAGTCGTGTCGGAGCGGGAGTCATTCTGAATGGGAGCGGGATGGGAGTTGGAGTCATTTCACCAGGAGTGGGAAGGGACAGGATTTAGATTTCTACTCTGGCCCGGGATCGGGACGGGACACCATTTTTTTCTGTGGGAGTGGGACGGGACAGGAGTGAAAATCGTCTCCCGTGTCAGTCTCTAGTCAGCAAACAGACCATCCATTCAGCATTAAGTGTTTTGATGGCTTTTAGCGACAATGCTAACAGGGTTTATAGGTTTAAATCAGGTGGGATCTAACTCTTCCCTTGGCTCAAGTCTGAGGACAACCTTATATTGCAAAGGAGAGAACCAGGCAGACGATTCTGTTTTTGTGATTAGAAACACCCATTTGAAAAAAGATAGCCTTGCAAAACACTACTTATTACCCAGGTTAATTTAGATGGTGCTATTTAAGAAAATGTGTTGTGCCCCCCAATATATATTTCCTGTGCTACTAAATAGTTTCTATTTTTGTGAGCACTAGTGCTCCTGGTGAAAAAAGCCAAGCATAAAGCCATGATGTGTCTCCAGTATATTTCAGGTCTCTGGCCAGGCTCAGACTGCGGGTCCACAGAGCCTTCCCAGCACCACTAGTACTCACTGCTCCTGCATTTCATTAATACAACATAAAGAAAACAGTTTGTTACAAAAAGTGGGAACTGGGCATCAAGACCTGCAGTGACAACGAAACCTTAGAGTGTTTGAAAGACAGAAATTACAGTCATAAATATAAGTTCTCCATCACCTTGCTGCTTCATTTACACCAGAAGCTTCTTTTACAAAATATTTTTTCAACATTAGTTACAATTTCTGGCCAACCAATAGAATGAAAAGAAAATCAAGTTTTCGTCTTATGAGGATTAAGTTTAGTATCAGGTTCTGAAAGCACATGATTGGCTTAAATTATATTGAGAAATAAGTGCAGCATGGCTGCATACTGGGAGGACAGAATTCACTAATTCTTGAACATGCCTGTGATTTTAATTATATAGCATGATAAAATGACAAGAAAACAATTTTAATTCTATTTAATGTCTTAATTAAAAGTTATTAGGGGAAGTTATGAGGTCTTGTGAAAATAATCTGCATTTATTGTTTCTTTAAAGGTCTTTATCTTCATATCGCTGGATTGCGACATGGCTTGTTTTTCTCTCTTTGTGATTCTCCACTAGAATAGAGAAGCTGCTTCAGTTTATTTTTATGGCATCAATTTATAGCAAACATCATCTTAAGGCTTTTATAGACACAGTTCACCAGATCATCCAGTCAGATTGATTCAAAGTTTTCTATTTAAGGAAAACCAGCTGATTGCATCGACTCATTGACTCTTCAGCAATCCCTCACACTAAGCATGCTTGTAGCGACAGTGGAGAGGAAAAACTCCCTTTGAACAGGAAGAAACCTCCAGCAGAACCAGGCTCAGTGTGAGCGGCCATCTGCTGAGGCCCACTGGGGTTCAAGACGACAGAAGCAGACATAGAAAAAGAAGCATAGATACAAAAGGCAACTGTCAACCAGCTCCACAGGCGGCCCCATCCAGGAAACACACAGCCAGGCAGACGAGCTCCGAGCCAGCTCCCATGTCAGAGGATGAAGAAAGCACATCCAGTTAGTCACAGTCAGAGAAACAGGACTACACTGGAAAACAGGCCAAGCTCCAACATCTAGAAAAAAAGGTGTTGATGGCAGCAGCACAGTTGATATCTTGTAGGACTTTTTCTGTGCTTCAGAAACTCCTCTTGGATCTTCATCCAGTGAAGCTGTTATCTTATATTCAGTCTCTAAAACTAAAACGGACTGGGACTTGTCCATTAACATTTTCGGCCCTGAATATTTCCTGTTAAATCTTTGGATTGAAGAATCTCTGAGATTGGTGCAGAACTTTACAGAAGTTTGATTTATGAATGATGCAGGAACATTTAGATTTAGCATCAGTATCAGAACATTATTATAATAAATTTTCAGGGTTTGGATATTTTCTGATGAAAGTAATGCTTTGCAAAGGTTAGAAACTAAATGTAAACATTAAAGTTAAAGTGCAGGGGTGTTCTTTTTCCTGGTGGATAATCTAAATAGGTGGTCCTCCTAATTGTATGTTTACATACGGCCGTCCTACATGCTAATCCCCATTTTCACTTACTGGTGGTTAGTCTTCTTTTGGAAAGTAAGCTTGCATGAGCGATGCATACAGCCACTTTTAAACAGAACGTGCACGAGGAGAAATGGACGCATTTGCACTCAGGAGCGGGTACAGGGTTGTGCATGTGCATTTTAGAGTGGAGAGGGCGGGTCTTTTCAAAAATTCACTAAAATCCTCCACTATACCTTTAAATTTAATCCTGTTTTACATTTAGATGATATGTGGTTTATAGGATTGGGATATAAAGAGTAAATATGGTAAACAAATGTATACATTCGTTTAAATACAGTTGCTTTAGTTTTAATGAATATTATTACATAGATTTCAAATTTGTGCAATTGTTCAAAATTGTACTTATTTGGAAGACTTGATTTAAATGTTTTCCATACAAATAAATCAAAATAAATGAAAGTTCTTATATAAATAAAGTACTTACTGTAAATACTACAAATTGGACTAATTCTCTGACTTCTAGAATCGAACACAAAGCATTCAAAAGGTGACCTAGGATTGGCTAATTTTCACCTCATCTTTAAACGCCATCAGGAGGAAAATCAATAAGTTATGATGACGTTTTCGCAGCGCTTCAGACGGCTTTAAGGAAATCAGAATCTGTTTTCTCTAAAGCTGTTTCACATTTGGAGAAACGCACCTAGATTAGAATCCCTGGACTGAAGCTGCCTCTGGACCACAGTCCCTGGTTGTTCTGGTGAAGGGCCCCCAGGGCCGGTCTTCACGGAAAGAGCTAAATGTGGAAGCAGTCGGCTTTCTAAAGGTTCAATGTTTCAACACAAAGAAGACAGAGAACTCTGTGAACTCTGAGCTTTTATTGAATATTGGAAAAATTCCAAATCAGCAAAAAACAAATACAGAACATCTTCCAGGTTCTCCTGGAATCAATTCATGGACGTTTTTTAGAAGTATGAGCTGGTTTCTGGGCTTAGTTGATCCCTGGTTTTTCAGAAGCTCCTTTGCTTGCAGAGCCTGAAGGTTCACCTTTACAGTTGCTTTCAGGTTTTTGATTCTTCACTGCATCAATAAAATTCAAGCAATTTTTTTTAAACGTATCCTTGTCCTTGTCGTCTAATACTTTATAATGATAAGCAATTTCAGCAAACTTCTTCTCTTTGTTAACTCCTACTGTAGAATCATTCCAGCGTTTAAACACACCATATTCTGTTTTTAGAATATCACAAAGCTTTGTTCGATCAGCGTCAGCCATTTCTCTAAAACATGGAGCTGCTGAACCATTGAATCCTCTCTTGCTCTTATCAATCCAGGTTCCTCCTCTGGCCATCGAATGTCCATCAAACCAGAAATCTGGTTCATTATTTCCAACATGGTTTTCATCCATATTCATGGCCATGAGGGTTATTGGAAATGTTCGGAAGTTTCTGGCAGATTCTATGATGACAGAAGCTGTGAAATACCATGCAGAGAATAACCTGTCCGATTTACCTAGGTTATTTGTTGATTCTCCTGAGAATATCCTCCTAACATATAGCCGATATTGTTTTTTCTCTTCTTTTTCACCGATGGCTTTTATTTCACTGTATGTTTCAGTGGACTTTTGATCTTTTTTGCAATCATTTTCTTTTTTGTTATCTTTTATAATATTGTTTATGTTATTTTTTTGTCCGTTCAGGCCATTAATTCTTTCCTTTATCCTATCTTTGGTACCTGAATCCCTCTCATTTTGCTCTAAATATTTTCCAGCTGGTGTCACATACAGACTTTCGGGATCAATTCTAAATATCCAGTTATCAACCATCAGGAATGTTGCTCCCTTTTCTCCATCCTTTGCATAATGACGAATAATGTTCTTGATGTCTTTTCCTGAACTGATTTTATAACAAGATTGTAGCATTTCGTCAGTGGTAATACATTTATTTTGTTGATTATTTCCTTTGTTGTTGTTGGTTTTACCTACTGGTATATTTCCTATAGCATAATTATTTTTCTCTTTAGGACAGTTTTTAGTGTTTGCCTCTGGTTCTGGTTCTGCCCCTGGTTCCGGGTAAAACAGCCCCCAAGTAAAAGCTTCCAGCATCCTAAAGTCTTCAGTTATTTCTGTAACTTTGTTTTGGTCAATCATTTTATAAAATTTTGGGTCAATAAACAATATTGGACGTTCTGGCCAGCTTTTTCCCTCAGGATGGTTCTGGTCTGTCTTCGGATCACCTAACAATCTTGTTTGATTGGTGAGGACTTCCCGTCCTCTGTGGTCCGTCTCCTTCCTCCTCCTTATCTCTCCCTTGCTGCCAACAGTCAGAACCACCTTCTTGGTATCATCTCCAGATCTCCACTGTGCTCCATCTGCAGAGACGTCCTGACTGATGACCTCTCCGCTCTCTGTGACCTGGACCACAGCGGTCCACAGGTGGAGCTCCGTCTCAATGCCGGCTTCATGGAGCTCCTTCAGCAGAGCTTCTCTGAACCGTTGGTCCGATCCAGCCTCACAGGCCACAACTGTAGTAGTTTGGATCTTCTGGTTGATCCTGGAGCTGTTCTGGATGATCCTGGCCACATCTTTGGAGGTGTACCCTGATATTCTCATCTCTCCTGAACGGTCTCTGGCTCCATGGCCGACCAGAACCAGGCTGCTGTGTTCTGACAGAACCACTGGTTGACCTTTGACCTGGTGGACCCTTTGCTGGGGGTCAACAACATGAACTGAACTCACTGCTGGATGTTTGGCATAAAGAGAAGCTGCAGATGTTCTCACCACCTCATCATCTTCTAACATGAGGATCTGCAGCTGGACGGGATCATCTGGTCTCTGTGGGCTTCTGGACCCAGGAACTGGATCAGGTTCTTGGATTCCTCTATAAATCTGAGGTTTCTCCTGGTCCGGTTCTATTGGACCTTGGACCATAGAGGCTTCAAAGAGGATAACTCCAGAGTTCAGGGTCGTGTTTCCATGATTAGAGAAATCTGCTGCCGTTTCAGGTTTTATTTTCAGGGTCAGACTGTCAGAGGAACCAGAACAGTCAGAACCGGTTTGTTGGTTCTGTGTAAATGTTTCCTCTCCAGTGTTGCTGTCTAACTCTGAGAAACAGGACTGATCGTACAGGAAGACTGGGACCCGTTTCTGAGGATCTAAGCTGCTTTCCTGCCTCATTCTTCCATCTGATGAATCTTTGCTGCCGGTCAGAACCAGAACTTCCTGTCTAAAGCTGGGAGAGCTTTCTGAAACATTCTGCCACTGATCCTCCATCTGCTGTTTGTTCAAGACGGCATCGAGGCCCTGAAAGGGAAACACAGGCTTCAGTCAGAATGGGAGAAGGTTCTGGTTAAAGGTTCTGGTTAAAGGTTCTGGTTAAAGGTTCTGGTTAAAGGTTCTGGTTAAAGGTTCTGGTTAATGGTTCTGGTTAAAGGTTCTGGTTAAAGGTTCTGGTTAATGGTTCTGGTTAAAGGTTCTGGTTAAAGGTGCTGGTTAATGGTTCTGGTTAAAGGTTCTAGTTAATGGTTCTGGTTAAAGGTTCTGGTTAAAGGTTCTGGTTAAAGGTTCTGGTTAAAGGTTCGAGTTAATGGTTCTGGTTAAAGGTTCTGGTTAAAGGTTATAGTTATAGGTTCTGGTTAATGATTCTAGTTAATGGTTCTGGTTAATGGTTCTGGTTAAAGGTTCTAATTATAGGTTCTGGTTAATGATTCTAGTTAATGGTTCTGGTTAATGGTTCTGGTTAAAGGTTCTAGTTATAGGTTCTGGGTAATTATTCTAGTTAATGGTTCTGGTTAATGGTTCTGGTTAAAGGTTATAGTTATAGGTTCTGGTTAATGATTCTAGTTAATGGTTCTGGTTAATGGTTCTGGTTAAAGGTTCTAATTATAGGTTCTGGTTAATGATTCTAGTTAATGGTTCTGGTTAATGGTTCTGGTTAAAGGTTCTAGTTATAGGTTCTGGGTAATTATTCTAGTTAATGGTTCTGGTTAAAGGTTTTCGTTAAAGGTTCTAGTTATAGGTTCTGGTTAATGATTCTAGTTAATGGTTCTGGTTAATGGTTCTGGTTAAAGGTTCTAGTTATAGGTTCTGGTTAATGATTCTAGTTAAAGGTTCTAGTTAAAGGTTCTGGTTAAAGGTTCTAGTTAAAGGTTCTGGTTAAAGGTTCTGGTTAATGATTCTAGTTAATGGTACTTGTTATAGGTTCTGATGAAAGGTTCTGGTTAAACGTTCTGGTTAATGGTCCGGGTAAATGTTCTGATTAAATGTTCTAGTTAATGGTTCTAGTTCAAGGTTCTGGTTAAAGGTGCTACCAAATGGTTCTAGTTACAGGTTCTGACTAAAAGTTCTGGTTAAAGGTTGTAGTTAAAGGTTCTAGTTACAGGTTCTAGTGAAAGTTTCCAGTTAAAGGTTCTAGTTAAATGTTCTAGTTAATGGTCCGGGTAAATGTTCTGATTAAAGGCTCTGGTTAAATGTTCTGATTAAAGGTGCTACCAAATGGTTCTAGTTACAGGTTCTGACTAAAAGTTCTGGTTAAAGGTTGTAGTTAAAGGTACTAGTTACAGGTTCTAGTTAATGGTTCTGGTTAAAGGTTCTAGTTAAAGGTTCTGGTTAATGGTTCTAGTTAACGGTTCTAGTAAATGGTTCTGATTCATGGTTCTGGTTAAAGGTTGTAGTTAGCAGTTAACATTTATTTCTCTGTTTATTTAGATCAAACTAATCAGGATTATTTAGATTAAATTGCATTTAGCAGTTCTTCCCACTGGAGCCTTCATTCCGAATGAGATTATGTTGGAATTTTTCAGCTCTGTTTTGACTCTTAAAGATTTTATTGTTTATTTTTCACCTTAAAATCAGTTCTTCAGACCTGATAATGATGTTTATAACTATAGCTTGAGAGGTTCACTTTGGGCAGCTGGACGTGAAGTATTCTAGATGTTTCTCCTCACATCCAACTAGTGGTGGTGAGCACTGAGAAACACCTTCTAGAAAACTTCCAGTTGCCCAAACTGACCTGGATGACTAAGAATCTACTCAGATATGTTAATATACATAAAGGAGGTCAAGAAAATAATTTCAAAGCTTTAATGATTTACCTTTTTCTTAAACTGTTTTTAGTTTTTTTTTCTTAATAAATAATTAATATAATCAAATCTTTTGAGATGTTTGAGCTTCAGGTCTTTTATGACACAGAGTTACATATTTGCATTTGTTAAGCATATTTCTGTTATTTGAGCAAAGACATGTTTACTGCGTGGCGTGATGACATCAGTGCTCGTGCACGCCACCGCCATGTTCCTTTCTATGCGTCTCAATAAACGTCTGACTCTGGAAGATTTAAGGAGTGCCAGCCAATGGAAGATGTTATCGATTGTTTCTCTTATGCTAAGCTAGTCGATAAAGTTTTTTCACTGTTTAATCTAAGTAAACACAAGTTCTGCTGTGCAGGGATGGCCAATATCTCAATATTTGGTGGATTCAGGATTTAAGATTTAAAAGGCTGTTGCCACTTTTTTTCGGTTCAGATCTTATTTGACAAATGGAGGATGGTTGTTTAAAGTTCTTTAAAAATAAATTCAAAGATCCACAGGAGACTGTCGGCACAAATGTTCACAGCTATGAAAATAAAGATGCTGTTTGACGCTTCTTTGAATGTAAATTCATGTCTTATTTTCTGGTTTTATGTTCTATAGTGTAAATAACTCAGGCTGTCCTGTCCAAAATCTGAGAATCTGTAAATTTATCTCTTTACCTGCATTGGCCTAAAATGATTGTTGATTGACAAATTAAAAAGTCTTAAAACAACATTTAGCTGTAAATCAAGGCTGAATTAATAAATAGAAAGTTAATTGATTTATTTCTGACCTACAGTTACAGAAGCAACATTTTCTGGTTTTCTCTCAGCTCAATTTATTTGGAGCTAAAGGACTCCAAATATTAAATTTTACCCACACACACCAAAACCCACACACAGACTTGATGCCTTTGACAAGATCTACAAATGTATCTCTGATCACACAAAATATATTTTGGTTAACACATTACTTCTGCTCAGACAACGTCTACATTTGATGCATTAGATTCCCCTCCCTTCACTCCATACACAAATCATTTTTTTTTTTTTTTGGCAGGTAATAATTGGCATCCAATCAAATATCTGCCTTGGTTCAGCCAATCACAAGAAGGTACCTGAGAGCTGCGACGATTTAGCTGTAAGCCAATCAACAGTCTAGTAGAGATATATCTATGTAGTGGGAAGCAGGCGAGCAGTGGGAACTTCTGGCTACCATTGAGGAGCAGAAGTGGGAAATTAAAGCATTCCAAGTTTAACCCTCCTAATATAACATGTCTAATTATTTCTATTAATAATTTAAGATATTTGAAGATAAATAAATTTTTGTTAAGATAAGACAATCTAGAAAAGCTTGCAAAGCTATCTCACTTAGCTTGCTAGCTCATGTTAACAGTTGGCATAACTGAACTGATTAATATTATTAATTAAACATCTCATTACAAAGGAACAACTAGATAAACATATAAAGTTCTATGTTACAGCTCAGCTGTAGCTGATAGAAGCCCTGTTGATGTTTCTACAGTATTAGCTCCATATTAGCTCTGGTGGCTAAAATGGGGAGTTTGCTGATTGGAAGCAAATGATTCGCTGTAGAGTCACAGCAGGGGAATCCTAAAATATCCACACAACTTTACTGACGTTTACTGACCACATAGTTTGTGGTCAGTTATTTTATCAGCATCACATTTGTGGTTCTTTCCTGGGTCTATAAATACTGGGACAGTTTTTGCTCCATAAAGACGGAGAATCAAACATGATGCACAGATTTCCAGAGAAGAGAAACGATCAGTAACAGCCGCCTCTGAATTCAGCTGGAAGAACTTTAACTAACTCTGGAGAAACAACAGCCTCTCTCAAAAAGATGTTTTTAAAGAGAGAGTTTAGTTTAATAATTACTTTCATTGATTTGATCTAATCTAAATCTTAATCTCATTTCTAACCTCTCTCTTATTTTTGACATATTTAAGTACAAATTGAACTACAAAGTCTGCAGTTTAAAGCTAATTCATTTGTATTTTTTGATAAATAAAACATAATTTAGTGCTTCCTTAAAATTATAAATTAGATAAATAGTTTGCATTTTTTAGATTGTTATTTAAGTTACATCTTTAAATAATCTTTTATTTTAAACAGTTTATATAATGTTCTCCTTTTTCCTTATGAAAAGTGATCAGCAAATATTAATAGATAAAAAATAATTTTTACCTTTTGCAGCAGGAACTGTTTGTTGATCAGGCTGGAAGGAAAATAGAAAACTTAATTTAAAAGATGAACTAAAACCAAACCAATAATAGATTTATTTATTAATTCTTAGTGTTTTTAATCACAATGTTGTATCTCTGAATACCTTTAGATGTTTAATCACTAATTCTTTTCTTAATTTAGGAAATAACTGAAAACTATAAAATTATGTGAGCTTCAGGACTTCAAGAGTAACAACAGATTAACACATCTGTTATTAAAATGTTATTAAAATGTTTAAACCAGACATGTGTGCAAATATTTTTTTTTAAGTTGAATTCTCTTAAAAAACATTTTTTCAATTATGATTATTATTGTGTTCAAATGCTATTAAAAGTGGATTTATGCTATGTTTAAAGTTGATCAATGTAATATTTAACCACAGAGAAACACACAGATTAAAAAAAAAGCATTTAGAAGAAAACAAAAGAGAAAAAACGTTTGTAGCTTTGCTATTAAGACGTATTAGCTTTAATAAATAGGCTATTAACTGATTCTTCTTTTATTCTCCTGACTTTGAGCTGAAAAGACTTTAATAATATCTGGAAACCACTTTTTAAAATCATAATTTTTAACTTTTTTAAATTGTAAATAGTAAAAATGTTGACATTTAAGGTATAAAATAACAAATAACAGCACAAAATAAATAAGTGTAGAACCTCTGATTGAATGGACAGGAAGTGCTTCCATTTTATATATTTTCTTTAGCAGAAAGTTCTTCTCTATAGCGACAGCTAGCTTAGCATTGATGGAGGTTAAAGTTTAGTTAAAATTGTAAAAATTATTCAATCAGTTATTAATGGAGAAAATTTAATGTGATGATTATTATGAAGCCAGAGCTGCATCCAGTAACATCTGATAACAGGCTGCCGTATCATTGGTTAATAATCAGTTTCACACTTTTCTGTAAAACATGCAGCTTTTTTCAGATCACATACTGACTTACTGTTACTCCTCATTATATCAAATTAAAACTGATACTTATACTCAAGATGAGACTCAGATGTAACAAAAAATCGGCCGCACTTTCCTGCTGCTCCTGCACCTCCCTGCCTGCCCCTGCTTTCCTGTGTCTTGTCTTTTCGGAGCTCTCTCTTCATACCACCCAAACTCAAAAAAATGTATCTGGTCAGCTGGTCTCTCATTGCAATTGATTAAATTTATTTTAATGGAAGACAAGGTAAAGGAGACCCGTCCTGTCCTGCCGGGACATACTTTGTGGGATTCACCATGGACCCCTGGAAGGCTTGGAGGATGGTGTGTCTCACAACGCTGTCGCTGGAGGATGTTGAAGATCTATGGATTTTTGTTTTTTTTGATTATCAGATTTCTCCTCTTTGGATTCAGAAGATTCGTGATTTATCTTCAATTACAGAGCATGTTGGCGAAAATGTGGGCATTGGTCAGGCTGCCGGCAGCGGTTGACACCCTCACAAAGGCTGTGAACGAGCAAGATTGGGAGCAGACCCGCATGCTGGGTGCGATTGAACGCAGTCCGGCTGCGGTGGTTAAACTCAAAGGTGAGATGGGATAACATCTTGGATGGGCACACTCGCTTCAAGGCGGAAAAGCCCTACACATTTGGAATATTAGATTTCGCCACGAAAGAGCCAGTAAGAAAAGACTCAAGGCTGAAGGAAATTCCTGTGCAGCCTGCTCTCAAAACAATAAGTGTTATTCTGGATTCGACCTCCCCCCTTTATCTAATCTCCCCTGGATGTAGGGCACAGAAGAACTGCTCCCCCCCCCCAACCGCGAATCATCCGTGGAATGCCTGCAGTGACTGTTGATACACTTCGATCTTATCAAGGACATTGCCTGTGGACAGCGTTCATGGACAAACTGAAAGCACTCATCATACAAACACTAAACAAATAAATGTCAGATTAACTTCATGTGACTAAGCCTACGATGTGACCCTCTACTGAGTCTATCTTGAGTTACATGTGCTTTTCGTGTGCAGAAGTTTTTTTGATATCTCAAAAAAACTTGATATCTTTGCCGTTCTGCAAAATGGCAGCGTTCTGTGGCGTTCTGTGGCACACATGGCCTCAGTAGGTCCGTTTCGGTATTGTGACGAACGGTTGAACTGAAACTGAAATTTCGATTGCAATGTAAATTGTAATTGACAATAAAGAAGTTTGATTGATTAGTTGATTGATTGAAGTCTCAGACTACAAGTCCAAGTCAAGACTAAACCCATTAGGGTACAAGTCCAAGTCGAGTCTTAGATCTTATAACTTGTGTAGACTTTATATAGAACATAACTTAGAAGTTCCTGCATGTTTTTTATCCATAGATCAGCTAGAACATATTTTGTACCCATTGCTTTACCCCTTTCCTTACTGTTAGCAATTTATATAGATGTGTATTTTTTTCGGTAAGGGCGAAAATTATTGTAAAAATAAGCAAATATTATGTGTGGCTTAAATAAACAGTATTTTCCAGTTTGCTGTGTTTTTATTTTCATCTAGAAATTCAAAAGACCAACAAAACATGATGGATCATGACTCCTGATCAAACCAAAGCAACCTCCTCTTGATAGAGATTATATCTAACAGCCATATTTAACCTTTTATCAGATGGTATGAATAAATGACGTGAAAAGAACATAGATTAATAAACTACCTGTTTCCTGACAGGATCTCCTGCAGTTCCTGAATCTCCGAGTCAGACGTTCCTCTAAGGTGAAGCTCTGCTGCCGTGTCAAAGCTCAGCTTCTCCAGAACATCTCCTCTCACCTCTGAAAAAAAGGTTCAAGTTTCTATTATGAGGCAGGAATTTAAGAGATGGATGCTGCAGAGAAAAATTATTGAATCATTGGGTAAAAATGACTTTTTTTTGACATTTTAGCAGCAAATTTATGAGAAACATGAACAGAATTCGAGGTCTTTGTTTCAGATTTTGTTCATTTTTCTTGAACATGAATTCAGGGTCATCAGCAGTTTGCTCTTATTTCTAATAAGTAGTTTATTATTTAATAAGTTTCATACCAAACTGGTTGGTGAGGATAAAGAGGCTGAGGG